AACACTGTGATTGAGAAACGATTATTGTGAGGGGCCTAACAGTGGCATCTGCCAGCTCCCTCAGCACTCATGGGTGCCCAGAACACATGTCCAGTTTGCTTAGGAATTCAGTGACCTGTTTGTCTTCAACCAGTGGTCTATCTTCCTTGCTCCAGCTTCCATCCCGGTCTCTGGGGCCTAGGATTTCTGAAGACTGCTCTTACTAGCAAAGACTAGGGTAGAGAGGGCATTAAGTACCCCAATCTTTTATATGTCTTGTGTCACCAGGTTCCCCATCTCCTTCATCTGGGGTCCTGTATTTTACCTAGCCTTCCTTTTGTCACTGATGCACTTATAGAAGCTCTTCATCTTGACTTTGACATCCCTGGCCGGATTAAAATCCAGTTGGGAACTGGATGCCAGCAGCTGCGTTTCCATGTAATTACACTGTTCAGTGGGTGATTTCAGCAGAAAGTGCCCCAGGTGTGTTCCCTGAGCCTCCCCCCAACCCGTGATAGCATCCTCTTCTACACCTATCAAGGAAAAGGTTTCAAAACACAGCATCGGGTTCATCCCCTGAGTTCCTTAACACATCCTCTGGTCCCAAGGGCACATGCCAGTTCATTTGCATCCATTATGTGACAGAAAGGATGTAGTTCATCTGTCACTTTCGTCCAGCTCCTTTCCCTCATCACCACTTCCTGGCAGAGCACAGCTCATGAACCTCTCCCCTCAGAGCCTGCCTTCCAACCTGTCTTTCACCCACCTGGTTGTCTAGCCCTCCAAGCTGTATCATCCTGCCTTGGATATGAGGATTGTGGGAGAAGGTGTCGAAATCCTTCCTAAAGTCAAGGCAACCATCATCCACAGCTGTCAGCCCTTTGACCCCACATCCCATCACTGTAACATCACAGAGGGCAAACAGGACAGTCAATCCATGATGGCTCTTCCCTCCCAGGATACTCCATGTGGCCAAAAACACGCTCTGAGAGAAGTCACTCCATGATTCTCCCAGGGACCAAAGTGTGGCTGACAAGAATTTAGATCCTCAGATGATCCTTTTGGCCTTTGTTGAAGGTGGGGTGTGATATTTACTTCCCTCCAGTTGTCAGGAATCTCCCCTGATCTCCACCACATGTGAAGAGCAGCCCTATAAATCCATTTCTGTCAGCATCCGTTGATGCAGCCTGTTGAGTCCCATGGATTCATGTGGATCAACTTCATTAAAGAAATCCTGACTCCATCTTCACCCCTCTCTGTTAGCTCTGAACCCTTTTGAACAGCATGGAGGCCTGGGAAACTGGTGGAGACCAAGGTGGAGGAGGCATCGAGTGTCCCAGTCTTATCTGTGCCTGCTGTCACTAAATCACCCACCACACTTGGAAATGGGCCCTTCTTCAGCCTTTTCCTACCCCTGCAGTGGTAGAGGCTCTTTTTGGCACCCTCAGTTCGCCTTGCAATTCTCAACCCGACTTGAACTTTGACTTTGCTGACACCCTCCTGACATGCCTGGTGATGGTTGTAAATTCATACTGTGTAGTTTGCCTCCATACCCACCTCCCATCTCATAGAATCATGGAATGGTTGGGATTGGAAGAGACCTTAAAGCTCATCTCATTCCACCTCCCTGCCATGGGCAGGGACACCTTCCACCAGCCCAGGTTTCTCCAAGCCCCGTCCAACCTGGCCTTGGACACTTCCAGGGATGGGGCAGCCACAGCTTCTCTGGGCAGCCTGTACCAGGGCCTCACTATCCTCACAGGGAAGAATTCCTTCCCAATATTTAATGTAAACCTACTCTCTGTCAGTGGGAAGCCATTCCCCCTTGTCCTGTCACTCCAGGCCCTTGTAAATAGTCTCTCTCCATCTTTCTTGCCAGCTCCCTTCAGGTACTGGAAGGCTGCAATCAGGTCACCCCAGAGCCTTCCCTTCTCCAGGCTGAACAATCCCAATTCTCTTAGCATACATTGCCTTTTGCATGGCAGCTGAGCCCTGAGGCCCCTGCTTAGCCAAGGCCATCTGCTGACATGTCTCCTTGCTTTCCTGAGCACTAGGATGGACTGTTCTGCACTGTGCTGTCCTGAAGGCTTGCCAGCTTTCCTGAGCTCCCTTGGCCTTCAGCGCTGCCTCCCATGGGATCCCTCCCATCGACTAGTTCCTTGTATAAGCTGAAATCTCTCTTGCACTCCAGGGTGTGTACTCTGTTTCTCTCCTTCCTCACTCCCTTTAGGATTCTGCACCTGCTGATCCATGGCCACTGCAGTCACACCTGCTGCCAACTGCCACATCCCCAATCAGTGCTCCCTTCTAGTGAACAGCAGATCCAGCTGTGTGCCACCCCTGCTTGGCCAGGGACATTGGAATTCTTTGTGAGATCAGGGGTCTGTGATCCTGGCTTCCCCAGGTACTGCTGCCTCCTTGGCAGCTTTATTTCAGGGATTTCCTGGCAGAGCATTGATGTCCTTGTGCTTAAAGCCTTTAGTGGCTGTGGGGACTCCATTCAAAAGTCAGAGATGAGGGGGCTGTAAAGGCTCCATTCAGGCTCAGAGCTCTGACTCCTGCTCCCACATATTCAAGGAGCAGGACTGGCACAGCCCCAGTGGAGTGTTTCCTGGGCAGTTCCATAGGCAGCTTGACCCCATTTCCCTCTGTTTTTCAGGCAAACATCAGGAGTCTCATGAGTGAGCTACAGTAAAACCAGCTGTGGATTCAAGATTTGGGGTGGATGCTAAATACAGAGCCTGGGGCTGTCCTGCGTTAGCTTCTAGCAAAGTTCCTGGAAAAATGTCCAGACTTGTTTTAAAAATTTCCAGGAGTGGTGAACTCACCGCAGGCCTTGATGAGCCCTTCTGGTGGCTAATTACCCTCACAGCTAAAAATGTGTCCGTTTCCCAGACCGTGTGTGCTCTGAGCCTGCAGCCTTGTGTGCCAGCTGAAATGAGGTGGCTGCCGTACCTGGTGGCTGGTGGACCCCTGTGATGTCTCTCAGGAGTCCCCAGGAGACATCACCCAGCTGTATGGGGGATCCTGCTGCCCTTGGGCCTCAGTCAGGCCCTGCTGAGTGTGGGCGGCCCGCAGGCAGGCAGCCAGCCCCATCCCACGGGATGCACACATGGGATGTCAGCGGTCTGTGGGCAGGGAGCTGGGGCTGGGGGTGTGCCGGCCACAGCCTCCCTCCTGCACACAGTGGCAGAGCACAAAGCAAAGTGTTCAGCGGCCCCAAACTGAGCCAACACCATTACCTGCTCCAGCAAGTATTTCCTGTTCCTGTGGCTTTTCTCTGGGCACCACTTTAGCATCACCCATCCAAGGGAGACAAGGCCAGGCCCAGTTGCACACCGGGGTGTGGGTCTGGGGCTGTACCCCAGTTACAACAGCCAACATGGAGCCACTCCGCTGGTACCCTTCAGATGAGCTCCAGTGATGTCAGTGAGGTCAGATTTGTACTCTCCAATGAGCAGCTCCCCAGCAAGGGAGGCTGGGGCTACAGAGGGAAGGGTGAGCTCCAGAGGAGCAGATGGATCCAGTTTCCCAAAGTGCCTCCTGACCCAGCTTTGTCATGACACCTGTGTCTCTGAGTGCTCTGCAGCTGGAGCAGGGAGGGGGGGGATCCTGTTCCATGGTGCTTCTTCTGGCAGCTGCTGCAGAGCTGGGAAGCAGATCCTCTGCACAGGAGCCTGGTGCTCACTGGAGATGTGCTCTGAGCTTCTCCGTGCAGGCAGCCCCTCAGACGCAGCCACCGAGGCGCTGCCGGGGTGTTGCAGTGCTGTCCTCCTTCCTGGCAGGGCAGGTGGTGCCGACCCCTGCCCCCGGCCGTTGACTTTCGGCCTCGATGCCCACGCCTTTCCGTGTTCCCTTGGCCTGTCCCTCCGGTCCCCCGTGCCTGCTTCGCGGCCCCCAGCCGGGCCCTCTCCTTGGCGCGCGCCGGCGTTCCTCGCGCGGGAGCCGAGGCCCCATGGCCGCTGCAGGGAGGAGCTGTGGCTGACGAGGCCTGAACTCCACTTCACCCGGGCCTGGCCCAGCTGCCTCCCCCCGGCTCCATCCCCCAGCTTTGTTCTCTGCCGAGCTCCCAGCTGGTGGAGGAGCTGTGGGCAGGGATGTGGGGTCAGGAGTTGGTTCCTGCTGACCTGAGCTCTGTAGGAGCCGTAGGAGGAACTGAGGTGGGCAAGCAGGGAGCAGCATTCATCCTCCTGCTGTGTCTGTCGTGGTGGGTTCAGTTCTTGTGCCCCAGGCTGAGTGAGGCTGGGCTGTCACAGGGCAATGCCACTCTCCATCCTCATCCCCAGCACCCGGGGCTGCTGGATACAGAGCTCTGAAAGCAGGACAGAGCCAGGGCTCTGGTGACAGGGGGTTGGCTTTCTTCCTGTCCCATCCCGAGTGTCTTTGAGAAAAGAAGGAACAGAGAGGCAGGGGCAGCTGCTGCTGCCGTGCAGGTTGTCCCTGGCTGGCTGATCATGTGGGGGGCAATGGGGGTGCTTGACTGTGAGGTCCTTGGCATCTTGGTGAGCCTGGGCCTTTCTGTTCCCCCTGTCCCTATGGTCTTTTCTTTTGCCAAGGCAAGTCTGTTGACCTGGCTGATGGATGTTGCCCCAGAGGTGTAGAAGGGAGTTGCCACCTGGGTGGTGAGGAACCCACAGCAGTGCTGGAGATAGAAAACAGAGTGCAGCTCTTGCACACAGTGCTCCCCCTCCTCTATGTCCCCTCACAGGGGCCCGCCAGCACAGGCTGATCCTAGGGTGCCTCAGCTGCGGACAACACTGCCCACGGCACTGTCTGCATCAGTGAGCCCTGGGAGCCCTGTCCTGCTGCAGGGAGGGCTGCAGGGGAAGCGGTGGCTGGTGTGGGACAAGAGCTGCAGGCTTGAGACAGTCACTGTCACTCTGCATCACGATGATCTTCTCTGAGGACGGTGTGGTGGCTGTGGACCATAGAGCAGAGGGTGGCAGTGGGGTGTGGTGATGGGGCAGGGCTGGGTCTGGCTGGTGGTCTGCTCTGCTAAGGTAGTACCCTCCCTGACCCAGGTGACAGCCACAGATGCAGACAGTGGCGCGTTTGGCTCTCTTTCCTACTCCATTGGCTCCGGCATCGGCAGCGTTGTCCCCACGCAGTTCAGCATTGACAAGCACTCGGGGCAGCTGTGCACGGAGCAGCCCCTGGACCGCGACGAGGGCACGTCTGCCTACGACTTCACCATCACTGCTGTGGATGGGGTGAGTGCTGGTGAGGCCGTGGGACGCGGTGCTGCTGCCTCAGCATTGTGCAAGGGATGCTGCTGCCCTTGCACTGTCTCTGACCTAGTCCCTCTGCAGGGCGGCCTGAACTCCATGGTGTACGTGAAAGTGTTCCTGGAGGACACAAATGACAACCGGCCAGTGTTCTACCCGCTGGAGTACGCTGCCAGCATCAGCACACAGAGCATGCCAGGGACAGCTGTGCTGCGTGTCACTGCTAACGACAAGGACGAGGGGCTGAATGGGAGAGTGACCTACCGCATTGTGCTGGGAAACTCGCCCCCGCTCTTCTCCCTCAACAAGGACACAGGTGAGAGCTGTCAGGGAGCCAGAGCAGGCAGAAACCAGAGCATTGTGATATGGGAAATGTCAAAGCAAGCCTGTGTATCAATGCTTGGACACCTCAGCAGTACAATCTGCCTCCGGAGTATGCCTGTTCTTTTCCCTGCCACATCATTCTCTGTTTGACTTCTTGAGCCTCTGGCAGCCCCTTCCCAGATTCAGTCCCTGACCTCTTGTTTCTGCTCCCTGCTCTGTTCCTCATTTGTGCCATCTTCCTTCCTCTCCCCCCTTCCCCATCCCTGACTCACTGTGCCTTTCCTCCTGCGTGCTGATGCTTTGCCCCATCGAGCCGTATCCTGGTTTGTTTCTTGTCCCTGCCAGTTCCCTCCTCTCCCCGGCTCAGTTAACTCTCCTCCGTATCTGTCACTCTTGGTTCCACCATTCTCACTGGCTGTGTCTGCTCTGCCTTGCGTTGGCCATTGAAGACAGAGCAATTTCTGCTGGGGAGGTGGGTGCATGAGCGTGCGGTGGCGGGGGCTCTCAGCGGGACAGGAAGGTGCATTGAGGGATCTGCAAACTGTTCCCAAGTTCCCTGCAGGTAACTGGGATGAGACAGGCACTACCAGTCCTCCTAACACAAGGTCACCTCCTTCATAGGGCCTGTCAATTATGGTACTTCAGTCCCAAAGCCTCCCCATAGCCCAGGACCCACCTGCTGTGTCATGACTCTCACCCTGTGCCCCACATTAGAAAGCCCTCTCCCCTCCTTTCTCTCTCCCAAGACCTACCCTCTGGCTCGTGTCCCTCAGCCTGTACCACTGCTTAGCTCAGGGCTGGGTGTAAGGTTGAGTGGGGAGTATTTGGGTAGGCTTTCCTGGGAAGGCTCCTCTCCTTCACTCCAGCTTCCATAGCAAGCTCCCTCTATGATTCACATTGTTTCCTGTCCCCTCTGATCTGTCTTTTCCAGCTTATGGGTTGGTCTATCCCCTGGAGCCAAGTGACAGACAGGGGTGCAGCATAGTGCCCCATCAATGGCTTTCTTCCCCAGGTGTCATCTCCCTGTCATGGTCCCTGAGCGGCAAAGCCAACACCCTGGTGCAGCTGGTGATCTCTGCACAGGACGGGGGGGGCTTGCAGGCACAGCCAAACGCCCGGGTGAACATCAGCATCGTGGAGGGCACGGTCTCACCTCCTGTCTTTGAGCAAGCTCAGTACTTCTTCACTGTGCCCGAGGACACGTCGCAGGGCGTCAGCGTGGGGGCTGTCCAGGCCCACAACCCGCCAGGTAAGGCATCGTCCCTTTCGCATGCCGTCACTTTCCCTGTCCCCTCACCATCCTGAAGGTCCAGCACCCACCACACTTCCTCACAGAGCAGCCCTGCTCTGGGAGCTCCACGCACACACGTCTGAAGGTGCACCCTATGATTGTCACCCAGCTCAGTATGTGTGCTTACCCATGTCTATACACACACCTATGCATCCATGAGCATGGGCACAGTGCTGCTGGACATCTCAGACCAGCTCCGGCACAGCCAGCGCTGCCCAGCCTGCTGTCATTCCTCCTGTCTCCATCCCTTTGTCCACAGGTCATGCTGATGACATCTTCTATTCCATCTCCTCGGGGGATCCTCATGGCTACTTCTCCATTGATTCGGCCTCGGGGCAGCTCCGCACCAGCATGCCTCTGGATCACGAGTCCCAGGCAGTCCTCATCCTGGATGTCCAGGCCCGAAGCGGTTCACCCCCTGCCTACAGCAACACACGCGTGAAGATCTCTGTGTCAGATGTGAATGACAATGTGCCGGCATTCCCAAGCCCCTCCGACTCCATCCTGCTGCCAGAGGCCACAGAACCTGGGACTACAGTCTACACCGTGCAGGCCGAGGACCGTGACAGCGGTGCCAACGGCCAGGTGACCTTCGAGCTGGTGTCAGGGGGTGAGGGCACCTTCAGCGTGGAACGCACCTCGGGGGCGGTGCGGCTCCTTGGGGCCCTGCAGTTTGAGGCCAGCTCAGCCTACAGCCTGGCCATCGTGGCCCGGGACAGCGGCGTCCCACAGCTCAGCTCCACCTTCACGCTGCTGGTGCACGTGCAAGCCGAGGATGACAACGGGCCCATCTTTGACACTCTCACCTACCGCGTGGAGGTGCAGGAAGGTGTCCCCGTCTCCACCCGTTTCCTGCAGGTGAGGGCCCTGGCACACGATGTGGAATCCACAGCCCTTACCTACCACCTGCGTGCAGACGGGGACGCTGCTAGCTTCGGCATCATGCCCGAGAGCGGCTGGCTGTACGTCAAAAGCGCCCTGGACCGGGAGATGCGGGACCTGTACGTGCTGACGGTGCTGGCCTCGGTGGGAGGCAGTGGGGCTGCGGGGGACACCCGCAAAACTGGCACCAGCACCGTGCGAATCAGCATCACTGATGAGAACGACAACAGCCCTCGGCTGAGCGAGGAGCGGTACTTCTTCACCGTGCCGGAGAACCAGGCTCCTGGCAGCAGCGTGGGGAGGGTGACGGCCAGCGACCGGGACGCGGGGCAGAACAGCCGGCTCACCTACCGCCTGCTCCAGCACGATCCCAACTTCCTTATCCACACACAGACAGGTGAGAGACTCCCGGCTTTCTAGGTGGGGCTGACTGGTGGGAAAGCCCATGACAGGACAGCAGTGATGGCAGACAGGCCAGTGCAGCAGCAGAATAGGCACCTTCCTGCCCCTGCAATGCTGGGCTCCAGCAACACACCTGAGCAACACAGCTGAGCACAGGCTCTGCTCTAAGAGAGGGCTCGGGCTGTGTCCCCACCTCTCCGTGTTCCCACTTCTTGTGCTTGTCCCATCCCTGGAAGTGTTCAAGGCCAGGTTGGACAGGGCTTGGGACAACCTTGTCTAATGGAAGGTGTCCCTGCCCATGGCAGCGGGGTGGAACAAGATGGGCTTGAAGGTACCTTCCAACCCAAGCCCTTCTGGGATTCTCCCTCACAGGAGAGGTCAGCACCAAGCACAGCCTGGACCGGGAACAGCAGTCCAGCTTCCAGCTCCTGGTGATTGTGCAGGATGGGGGAGCACCGCCCCGCAGTGCCACCGGAACCATCTATGTCACCGTGCTGGATGAGAATGACAACGCTCCTGCTTTCCTCCACGTGGGCAGTGGTCAGGAGCTGCCCGTGCAGGTAGAGGCACAGGCTGGAGAGCTGGTGAGGCAGGGATCAGGTAGCCTCTGGTTATGGGACAGGCAGTTCTGCTGGGGGATAGGGAGGGGTAGGGACACCCAGGAGAGTTTTGGGGTGGGAGATGAGCAGGCACGAGTCAGATCTATGCATATGCAGCAGCCAGGGCTGTCTGGCAAATTTGACTGAGACATGGCAGGATGGGCATGTCCTTGGGCAATGCAGACATCCTGGTGACAGAGCAGGCAAGGGCTGCAGAGGGCTCTGGCACCAGCAAGACTGGCCAGCAGACAGAAGCTCTTGGCTTGCATGTGCCTGCAGGGAGGGATGGCAAGAGGAGCCCTGAACCTGACCCAGAAGAGCCAGGGTAAGCAATTGTGGGTGGGAAGGTGCAGGATGCCATCACCTAGCTCTGGGGATTTTGGGTACAGCCACCCTTACTTCTGGTAGGTTGAGAAAGCAGTGCACAGCTGGGCTTGGCACACACAGTGGTTTTCTGGGAGTCCGCTGTGGCTGCCAGCTTTCCCTCAGCACTCTGGTGGCAGCATTCACCAGGCACTGCATGTGCTGCAGACCCAGTTATGTGGGTGCTGCTCAGGAGAAGTGGGTGAGGACCAGCCTTGCACCTGCCTGCCTCTGCTCTGCTACGTCCCTAAGAGCAGCATGAGGGGCAAGGGCTCATGGCAGTCGACCAAGGATCGCTGGCAGCAGCAGAGCACAGTGAGCAGCCAGAGCCCTGGCCTCATCTCCTTGGCACAGGGACAGCCTGTGGCTGGACACTGCATGTCAGGCTGTGTGCTCAAAGCCCCTCACATGGGGCTGGCTCACACACGTCACAGTGGTGGAAACCACTCTCTGTCACAGATGCTGCCTGAGCCACGCACCCCCTGCAGAGCAGGCAGATCTGTGTTGGTGGTCACTGCCTATCTGGGTGACACAGGACCTGGGGACACTCTGCAGCTCCAGCCAGGCCTTCCCTGTTCATTGCTGCTTCCCTTCATGTTCCAGGGTGCAGCCATCCCTTGCCCAGATGCCTTCTTGCGTGCCCTGATCTGCTGGCAACATTGCTAGCAGGGCTTGGCCTGGGTGAACGCATCTCCCAGGGCCTGAAGGAGGCAGAGAAGACAGTTAGTCTTGCCCTCTCTCTGAGCAGCACTCTGGGACCAGAGCAGGTGAGGGAGCAGCCAGCCACGGCATGGCTGAGGCTGCGCTGGACGGGCTCTGCAACACAGCAGTGCTCGCAGCCAGGGTCCATATGAGCCCTGCTCCTGTGTGGGGACACCTGTGACATGCTGCATGGCAGGATCTGCAGCTGATCCCAGTGTCTGGGGGCACGAAGTGCTGCAAGTGCCCTGCTACAGCTTAGGAGGGCTCTGCTTATACAAAGGGAACACAAAAGCAGGTATGTCCTTCAGGGGACGGGGCAAAGCTGGGATGGGTTCAGAGCCCTGACTGCAGGTAAATGCTGCAGCAGCTCTGAGCAAACACCTGTTTGGGCACTTTGGTTTGCAGCTCTCCTGCTGGAAATGGGGGTAGGAAGCACGGGAAGAGCCCACTGTTAGCCATGGTTTGGGTGTAGAAGAGAGGCTTGGAGGGAAAAGTGAAAACTGGATGATAACACAAAGCTCTGTGATTCCCTCAGACATACTTGGTGCTGTGTTCATGTTGGTGTGCATCAGGCAAAGCAGAGGAGGGTTCCATGTCAGCACCTTCCAGCATCAGCTGGAGGAGTGTCTTCTGGGGGGAATTCTAAGTTGAAGCACATTGGTGACATGCTGGCAGGACCAGGGGTTTCTGCATGGAGTCTGCAGTAATGGATCCTCCCAGGGAATGGTCACTAGGAGAGGGAAGAAGGGACAAAGGGAAGGAAAAAGGGGTCTGTTTGCACGGAGGAGATGCCCCTGGTGCTGCTGTTCTTCTGTTTCCTCCTAAGAGGTGAAGGTTGATGTCACTAGTCTATTCACAGCAATCAAGGTGAGGGCTCCCAGTGAAAAACTGTAGAAGAATCATGTTTCACTGTTCAGTCAGGAAAGACGATGGGAGATGAAATCACTGCTGCTGACTGGAAAGAGACACTGATGGGACTTACACAGTGGTGGGTTCTGAACTGGCTGCTTCAGTTTGGGGAGAAGCCTGTGGCTTTGTGAAAGTGTCACCGCAGGCTCCGCACAGGCAAAGAGGCAAATCAGATTCTGAGTTTAATTAGAAAAGGAACAGAGAATGAAAGAAAACATCATTACACCACCTCAGATTCTGCCCACTCTCTCTGCCCGGCTCCGTTCCTGAAGTGAGCAGAAGTGCTAGAAATGGTTCAGAAAAGGATGTTAATGGGATCTCTGGCAGATAATGGTTTCCATGCAGAAAAGAAACACTTGGACATTCTTTGGCATGGATGAAGCTGCAGGAATATCACAGAGGCGTGCAGAGAGTCATGGGGAAATGAGAAGTTGCTTTTTTACAACACAAGACTGGGCAGCTCCATAAGAACTGACCAGGCAGCAGGTTTAAAATAAACACAAGCAGCACTTTTTCATGCAGAACATAATTAAATTGTGAAATCATTGCCCAAAGTTGCATGCGTTCAAAACTAGATGAATTCATGGAAAGAAAAAAATATCCATCAAAGGCTGTTGAACACAAATATGATCTGTGGCTCAGGAAGTGTCTGAGCCACAGTAGGCTGGGAGCCGGGGAGGTTCACAGCAGGATTGTTCCACACGTACCATGTTTCTCACATCTTCTCTGTATTTCCACTGCCAGCCTCTGCCAGAGCTGTGCCTGTGGCCAGAATGGCTCTGTGAGTTTGGAACCAGGCTGGTGTTTGCAGCAACCTTCAGGTGGCCTTGCCACTGTCTCACCAGTTTGCAGAGGCACGGCCACTGCTATTGCTGTTTATTCCTCTCTGAGCGGCTGAACCGGCGTTTGGACATGGGGCTGTGTGAGTGCTGCTCATGTAACTCCTCTGCCGAGTCTCTGCCTTCCTTGAAGAGATCCAATTCCTCATGGGAGGGCAACGTGTCCCTGCCCACTGAGCAAGAGCCTCAGTCGTGTCTCTCCCTGAGAGCAATAGGGACAGTGTGAGGGCAGACCCTGCCCTGGCCTGTGGTGGGGAGGGGTTGGAAGGGGCTCCGAAGCGTGGCCCCACGTAGAGGTGTCCACGCAGGCTCTCCTTTCATCGAAGGCCAGGCTATATTTAGGTCTGTGCCTCCATCACTGCTGTGAAAGGCTGTTCCAGATTCGTTGATCTGGTACTAGAAACCATCTCTTCATTTCCAGCCTAAACTAATTTCTGACCATTTTATACTTATTTGTTCTTGTGCCAATATTGTGTTTTTGCTTAAAAAGCTCTCTTCTCTCTCTGGAATTTCCCTCCCTCTCCCAGTGTTTACAGAGTGCAGTCCCAGCACTGCTTGGCCTGGCTGAATGAGTCCAGCTCCTCTGGTCTTCCCTTCCAGGGCTCTAGCACAGTGCCAGCAGCTTGGGCAACAGCCCTGGCCCTCACCTCCACTTGGGAGCCCGCAGCCTCTCCTCTAAAGTCCTGCTCAGATTCCACTTGTCCCTTTCCTAAATGCATTAAGAGACACAGATCACACTGCACATCTGGGTCTTGGAAGGTGGTCTGTGCCTTGGGATGTGCTGACAGCGTGGAAATGTGAGATCTGTCCCCTTGGGGTGGGAATTTGGCATCTGCTGGGATGGAAGGAACTGCAGGGCCTGTGCCAAGCAGGAATCCTGCTCCACCAAGGAGTCTGTGCTGGAGGAGGCATGTCTGCAGCAGTAAAGGGATGTTTGCTGAGGGTGATCCCAAAACCTGACAGGTGCTGAGGAGCATTGATGAGGATGTGTCCAGTACCATAACTATCCAGGAAAGATGTTTGTGTGCAATGCTGTTATGTGTGGTCTCTGAGGGGAAGCTGATAACTCCCCTCAGGATGTGGGGTTACCAGAGCATGTGTGTGATTGATTTCTCAATGGTCTTGTGCTGCATTGGCATAAAACATGGGTCTAAAGTGCTCAGAGACAGGCAGTCAGTGCTACGCAGGAACAAAGGAGGGAAGGGAAAATCCCCGAGTGAAGGTGCCTGAGCCCAGGAATATCTGCTAGCTGCATTTCCAGAGGTAGCAAACCTCCCAGGTTGGATGTGGGAACTGAGGAGATCACTGGCTGTGGCCAGGGAGGCTGGCACTGGGCTGTCAGGGCTCGTGCCTTGGCATTGGCAGCTGAAGGGGCAGAGGGAACCAGGACTGTCATGGAGCCCTGCACTTTCCTATCTGCAGAGGCTCTGGGTGTAACATGGGTGAAACAGTGCCCTCCCACAACCCTGCATTGCCCCCCCACCCTGCTGAGCAGGTTGTGAAACAGGGCAAAAGGGAAGCAGAACCTCCCCTGGCCAGTGTCACTGCAGACTCCTCCGTGTTTCCAGCCTCAGGCACAACCTGTAGGTCCTGCCGGGGGTCTGTGCGATGGGTGAGGTGTAAGGCTGGTGCAGGAGAGTGCAGACCCCGTGCCATGCTTGGGGAGCTGTGGGGGTGATCTGAAGAGTGCCCTGTGCCACTCAGCTGCTCCCTGGGCTGTGCTGCAGGTGCTGGAAGAGAAGCCATCGGGACTTCTGGTCGCCTCCCTGCAGGCCAAGGACCCCGACGAGGGGGAGAATGGGACCATCATCTACTCACTGATAGGTACGAGCTCCAGAATTGGCGAGTTGATGCTGCTCTGCCTTGCAGCCATCACCCAGGCAGATGGGTGCCCACTGCCCAGGACCCCCACACTGTGCTGCCCTTCCTTCCTGCCCTGCCCTGCCCTCCCTTCTCCATGACAGCATTTCAATTCTCTCTGCAGGAGCCTGGGCAGAGCGTTTCACCCTGCACATGGCTACTGGAGAGCTGCGGACGGCCACGGCTCTGCGCCGGGCTGACCGTGCCGAGTACATCTTCACCGTGACAGCCAGCGACCGCGGCGCGGTGCCTCGCAGCACGTCAGCCATCGTTCGCGTCCAGGTACCCAGTACCCAGCTCCTCCTGTCCCTGCACTCCAGCTCCTCCTGTCCCTGCATCCCAGCTCGTCTCATCCCTGCACCCCAGCTCCTCCTGTCCCTGTACCATCTACCCCTCACTCGCCTCTTGAAGGACACCTTCCAGCTACCTGTCAGCCTTTCTCCCTACCTCCTCACCCTCCACCACCTTCATCTCCGGGGACCTCTGCCCTTGCTCAGCTGTTGATCCAGCCCTAAAATCCGTGTGGAGAACCTGGAATGGGAAGAGATGAGTCCATCTGCCCCTGCACATGTTCTCATTTCCAAAGCGGCCAACCACAGTTCTGCCTTCTGATCAAGCCTCAGACAGCCAATTCTGTCCTACATACCTTGGTACAGGGAAGAATTCAGAGGTTCCCTGCACAGAGACATCCATTCTTCCCACCATCTACTGAAATGGGTGTTCTGACCCCCAGGGTGTTTGTTCTGACCCTCAGGACGTCCCTCACATCTGTGTCACTTTGGCACTCCCTGCCTCGTGCTGCCCGGACAGCCACGTCCTTTCTCTTCTGTTAGTAATGAGCTTCCTTTAACAGCAGAGACCCTGGTTCCCCCCATCAAGGCACTCCCACAAAACACTGTTTCGCATCTTCCTGTCACTGTCCTTGCAGGTGTCAGGACCATTTGACTCTCCATGCTGTGCCATCCCCTCCAGCCCTGCCCATCACTCCCCTTTCTGTCACACAGCTGTCCCCACTCTGTGCCTTTCCCCTGTTAGTTTGGGAGCTCTGTGTGTGCTCCCATAGCAGAGCCCAGCTCCAGCGCAGGCGAGTGCGATACACCACGTTCTCTCGAGGAGCAGAGCCTGGTGTTAGCCTGGCACATCTGCCTTCAGCCACCCACAATATGTTTGATACCATTTCCTTTTTACACCATGTCTGTGACTGTTCTTGTCAGCAAAGCTGTTCTGGAGCCTCCAGAGCACTGAGGCCAGGCTGGCCATCCCCAGTGTGCTGGTTTGCACCCCTGTAACACAGGGTTTGCTTGACAGTCACTGGGTTTGATCCCCTCTGGGCTGACAGGTTTGATGTTATTCCCATTTTCCCCAGCTCCTTGACAGGAGTGTGCTGAGTTCTTCAGTGGGTTTTCCATTCAGATCACACTGTGGTGGCCTTTCCAGCATTCTCTCTCCTATCCACAGGTGCACCTCATCCCCAAATTAACTCCAGTATCTCTAATAAAATTAGAGATAGTATTTATTTATCTTGGGATCATACTGGGTTCTCTCTCTTCCTGTACATCCCATTGGGATGAGCATGACCTCTCTTCTTGCCCAGTCTTGCTCATGTTTGCAGAATTGTTTCTGCTGCTGTCTGTTGCCTTTGCGGTATCTGACACTGTCACAGGCCCAAAGAGTGGCTGAGGGAAGGCACCTCTGGAGGTCACCTTGTCCAGCCCCCTGCTTATGCAGGGTCATCCATGTGGCTTTTGGCTGTGTCCAAGGCTGAAGATTGTACCACCTCTCTGGTGCCAGGGCTTGGGCACCTTCACAGTGAAAAGTGTACCCCAAGGACCAGAAGGACCCTCCTGTGTTCCAGCATGTGCCCTGGCACACAGCCCCCTGCGTGTGCCTCTCACTGCTGCCTCTCCTCACAGGTGCTGCCATCCTCCCGTGTGCTGCCACGGCCTGATGCCACCATGCTGACCCTGCACCCTCTCGAGGGGGTCAAGCCGGGGTCTGTGATTGGCTCGGTGGCCCCCCCGGATGCTCCTGCACGAGGACAGCTGACCTACACGGTGGTAGGAGGTGGTGGGGACGGCACCTTTGTGGTCGACAGTGTGACAGGGGAGATTTATGCTGCCCGGGAGCTGGACTATGAAGCTGGGGCACGGCATGTGCTCCAGGTGAGTGCCGAGGACACGCAGCATGGCTATCCCTCCAGCCGGCTGGTGCTGGTCCAGATCCATGTGCAGGACTGCAACGACCAGGCGCCCACCTTCCCTGAAGACCCTATCACCATCGTGGTGCCGGAGAATACCCAGGCTGGCTCCTCCATCTTCACCTTCCAGGCACTGGATGGGGATGGGGTAGGCCCCAACAGCCAGGTGCGCTACGCCCTGCTGCACCTGGAGCCCGCTGGGGCCCCCTTCCAGCTCGACAGCCGCTCGGGGCAGCTGACCCTGCGCCAGGGCCTCGACCGGGAGGCTGCTGCCTCCTTCCTGCTGGTGGTGGAGGCCACGGACCAGGCCCGCAACATCAGCCAGCGCCGCTCGGCCGCCGTCACCGCCCGCGTGTTTGTGACTGATGAGAATGACAACACGCCCGTCTTCCTCTCCCCGGCCACTGTCAGCATCATGGAGGACCAGCCCACGGGCTTCGTGGCGCTGCACGTGGTGGCCCAGGACAGCGACCTGGGAGAGAATGGACGTGTGAGCTACTCCTTGCGAGCAGGCAATGGTGACGGCCGCTTCCACCTCAATCCCAGCACTGGTGAGGGCTAGGAGTGTGCAGGGGTGGCAGCGTGGACACTGGGAACATGGAGGCTGAGGAGGGTGCAGAAGTACATGGGGATGTTGCATGGTGCGTGGGAGGAGAGCATGGTCTGGGAAGCCTGGAGGAGGGAGATTAGGGGTGCAGGGAGCCCCAAGCCCAGTATTTGGTTGGCACAGTGTTGCTGGTCTCTGAGACCTGGCTGTCCCAGCAGACCCCAGTGCCTGCAGCCTCACAGTAGACCTGTCCCGAGAGCTCTCAGCCCCAGTGCTACTGGTCCCAGCTTGCCCCAGCACCGCTGGTCCCAGCTCGCCCCTCTGCTGTGCCCACAGGTGCACTTTCCATCGTGCGAGCCCTGAATCGGGAGGAAGTGGCACAGCACAACCTGACGGTGGTGGCCATGGACCATGGCTTCCCACGCCGCTCCGCCACACAGCTGCTGACTGTGCTGGTGCTGGACGTCAACGATGAGGCTCCTGCCTTTGAGAAACCTGAGTACGAAGCCCACATCATGGAGAACCTGCCAGCAGGCAGTCCGGTGCTGCAGGTGCTGGCCACAGACCGGGATCTGGGTGAGGACACACACAGGGGTGAGCTGCCCAGTTCGATCAGGGTCCATCGGGAGATGCACACCCTGCTTGCTTCTGCTGGTCTGGAGAGCCTGGCTGACCAGAGAGAAGGATCAGCACCTGGCCTGGAGGTGGGAGACGGGCTGGATCCTGGTAGAAGCTGAGAATGGAACAGGGATTATGGTTTCCTCTGCTCCCCCCAGCCAGTGGCCTTTGTTCTCTAAGGGCTCCTTGGGCCATGTGCACCTCCATCAGCTGGGCTGGGACCCCCATACACCTCTCTGCCCCCAGGGAGCAAACCCACCCTCTTGCTCAGCCTGTGAGCCCGGGTGGGAGCTGAGAGCAGACAGATGTAGGGCTGGGAGCTGAATGAGTCACTGGGGATGCTTCTGGGCCACTGTCAGACCTCCTTCCTCCCCGCAGGTGCCAACGGGCAGGTGTCCTATGGGGGTCTCTCTGGGGGGCCGTTCTCCATCCACCCACAGACAGGGCTCATTGTGACCA